ACAGGACCGGACTCGCCGGCTCTCCTGTCGCCGCCGCCGCGCCCCCCCGGGCGGCGGGGGCTTCGAGGCTCTCCGTGCCTCCCGGGCGCTAGTCGAACGTCGCCCGCCTCGGCGCGGCTCCCCGGCCGGCAGCCCTGACCCCCGGAGCCGCGGGACTGCTCCGCGTCCGCGGAGGGGGCGCTGCGCGGACCCTCCTACACGTACCGACACCTACAGACACACGCACACCTTCTCCTATCGACCCCCCAGGCGCGCACGTAGACTTTGGCGTCCTTTTGCCGATGAACTGCATGAAGGACCCGTTAAGCCTGGAGCGTCTGGGAGCCGGGAATAAGCTGTGCTCCTCCTCACCTTCCTCCTCCTCCTCTTCATCATCCTGCCATCACCACCAGCCCGCGCTGGCCATGGCGACGGCGCTGGCGCCGGGGCAGGCGCGCTCCTCCCTGGAGTCCGCCAAGCACCGGCTGGAGGTGCACACCATCTCCGACACCTCCAGCCCCGAGGCCGCAGGTAAGAGGGGGTGAGAGGCAGGGACCCCAGCCCGATGGGCCCCCGCCGCCCTGTCCTGCTCCGGCCCGGCTGGCAGCCCCGCGGACCGCGATGCGCCGCCACCCCTCAGCCCGGGAGCGCCCCGCACCCGAGCCGAGATTCGTTTCGTGGTTTTTCGCGTGCGGTGTCTCTGTGTGTCGGCGTACAGGAAGATAATGACATGTGTAAGGATAGGCGAATAGCATGTGTACTGGCAGGCGAGTTACCTGGGTACAGATCGGCAAACAACACGAGGGCTGATGGGCGACTGATATCGATGCAGACGGACAAATATGGGTATATACGGACAAAGAATATTGTTACAGCCGGGCGAATAATACGTGTGTAGATAAGCAAATAAAAAGAATTACGTGTATGCAGACGAGAGAATAATATGCATACAGATAGGCAGAARGCTCGCGTACGGAGAGGCGGCTCCATGCCGCAGCCCCGGCCGTGGCTGTTCCACCGGGAGGAGCCGCCCGTGGGGTGCCCGTGGGGCGCGGAGGGGCCGCGGCGGCGGGAGGCCGGCGCGGGTTAATCATTACAGCGTCGAGTCGCGTTCGGGGCAGTCTGCGGGATCCAGCAGCGCTGGGGACAAGCCTTTCCCCAGCCGCTGGAGAGGAGGCTGAGGAGGCTGAGGCGCCCTTGTTTTCCGCCTTGTTTTTTTTTGTTTCCCCCACTTACAGAGAAAGATAAGAGCCAACAGAGTAAAAATGAGGATGCGGGGCCCGAGGACCCCTCCAAGAAGAAGAGGCAGCGGCGGCAGCGGACTCACTTCACCAGCCAGCAGTTGCAGGAGCTGGAGGCCACCTTCCAGCGGAATCGCTACCCGGACATGTCCACCCGGGAGGAGATCGCCGTCTGGACCAACCTCACCGAGGCCAGGGTTAGGGTAAGTCCCGACACAGCACCCCGGCTCGGAGCAGCGGGGGTCAGGGAGGTGGGGAAAGGGAAGGAGGGCTGAAATGTTTGCAGCTGCTTTCGATTTCGGCTTGTATGTAAACTTCAGAGCCTTTGCACAAAAGCAGGGCAGAGCAGGACATTTCTGTCAAAGCGAGACAGATTGGGATCTCTCTCTGTGTYTCTGAAATATGGTTTGCTGCACGTTTCGCCCTCACCGTGCAATGCGTCCAGCTCCTTTTGATCGAAACGCTAATGAAAACATTAGCCAGGAAAGCAACTTGGAACAGGCTGCAACCTGCGCTGTCTCTAATGAGAAAAAGATGTAAAATACACAAGAGCTTTTGCTTCACTCGGAGGCACTCCCAACGTGCCCTTCCTTGCATTTTCTATTTCTTTTGGTTTCACAATTCGACGAGCGTCTCTCTCCACCCTCTACCCCCTTCTGAGATTTATGGGACCATCGCGGCACTGCGGAGATACCGCGGCCGGATCCTGCTCGCCTGCAAACGCCGCGCTGGGGAAAAAAAAAGAAAGACAACAAAACCCAACGCACGCACACAAAAAAAAGCCTAAAAATTGGCCGAACCTTCAGTTTTTCGGAAATCCCATATAAATCCTCTCCCCGAGGTCGCTTGAGGAAAGCGAGACAGTGAGAACCGGGGGCGGCAGCGAGCGGGGCCGGCTCTCAGCCCCGGGCCGGCGGTGTTGGCTCCGGGGCAGCCACGCGGCGGTAGCGGGGCCCGGCCGAGGCCGGTGTCCTGCCGGAGAGGGAAGCGCTGTCGGTCGCGGCGCGGCTTTTGCGGAAGTTTTTGTATCGGTCCCCGCGGTGCCTTCAGACGGGGCCCGTCCCCATGGTGCCCGGGTGGCCCCCGCCCGGCCCGACCACGGTGGGGGTTACCACAAACACGCCGGGGCCGGGGTGGTTTCAATACACACTGTAAGGCGGCTGCTGGCGGCTGCCCGACGGGTCAGACACCCAGATGTGGATTGGGAAAGGGCACGTTTTTTCCCATTGTCTGTCTCTAAGGGGAGGGTCTCTTAGATCTCATTTAGCACATTGTTAAATGGCGATTTTTTTCCATTCTTTTTTTCTCTTTTT